GAACCGCTGCTGGCAAAACTGCTCCTGGGCCTGCCTCACTTCCTAGATTTTGCAGGAAAAGTTGTTTTTTGGAGGGAAACTGGGATGCTGGGAAGGCAGGAGTGGGGGGGAATGAATAACTCCTTTAATAGTGACCCAAGGGCACCGGTCTGCGCTGAAACCTCTGGAACCATCACTAGATGTGATGGTTCTGTGCTAACGCACAGAATTTTTTTGGCCAAAACCGCACCCCCCCAGGCCCGGTCCTCTGGTGGGTACTTACAGTTCCCGTTGCTTTTAGAAAGCACCAGGCTTCCCTCCCACCCCAAAATCACAGCTGGGGAGATCAGAAACGCAGCGAGCGGTCAGTGCTGCTGGGCATTCAGTGCCGGGCCTGAAAGGGTGCTGTGGATTAGGGAAGGAATGAGATTAGCTGGCTAGGCTCACCTCGCCCCGGCGCGTTCAGCTCGGTGACAGTTAAATTGGGGATATAATCGGTTGCTGAGCTCCCCGACCACTGAGCGCAGGGTCTCTGGAGGGGCCATGGCAGCCTGCGTGCACTCCCGTCCTCTGGGGAAAATGACGTGCCTCGGATTCACCTGCCTGTAGGTATAAAATATTTCGCTTGGGAATTTTTTTTTAAGATTAAGTTGTTCTTGAGGCTTCCCCGCTACTCCCAGCGTGGGCCTGGGAAGGTCGGGTGTCCTTTGGGTGCTCTGTCCAAGTGCAGTGGTGCCTGTTACCAGGTGTGTTAAATGTACGCAAATTCCAGGGAGCCAAAAAATCAAGGAAAAAGTTCATTTGGCGTAAAGATTTGGAAGGCTTGAGACGGAAACCTCTGGAAGTCTATTCCCAAGTTGTTGGGGGCTGGTTTTGGGTGCCATCAAACCCCAGGAAGGACAACAGTTTTACACCTCTAGTGTCCAGAGCTCTTCCAGGGGACAACCCGATCAACGCAGCTGGTGGACTGAATCAAAGCTTCGACACTGCTTTTCAGTAGCTGCTAAAGCTCGACATGCCTTAGATGGTTTGAACTGAAGCGGTTATTTAGGCTGTGTGTAGTAAAGATGAGTTGGACTCTGGATCTCAGAACTGCTAGAGCCCCCGATAGGTGTGTATGAAATACTCGTACTATGTATTGCCCGAAGCATCCCGGGCTGAGGGTTTCCAGGTGCCTGATCAGATCTGCTTCTGTACAGTGCTTGTCAAACCACAGCCCCAAATTTAGAGATTCGGGGTTGGGTTTTGCTTGCAAATTAAAAATTCCACCCCCTGCCTTCTATTCCTGGAGAGATTTCCGATGCTTTCGGCAGTGGTCTGCTGGGTGCAGCGTCTGACTCACCGCTGGGGAGGATGAGTTTCTGGCGGATCCCGCTGCGGGAATAACGGTGCTTCTCAAGTGCACAGGGAGGATGTGCAGATGCCCCCAAGCTGGACAGGACTTGTCCGCGGTTAAATAGAAATCTGCTGCTGTTTTGGCTGGAGGGTCGATGTGTTTTTATTAGCGGGATAAGGGCAAATCCTTCAGATGCTGCAGGTTTTTGTCATAAACGGCTTATCTGTAATCTTTTTCTTTCCGATTTAGTACAGCAATCTAGTCATACCCCCATTTTCCCTCTCCTCGCAAGTGGATGAAGATGGGGGCATAGCCTGAAATATCAGTTTTATAAATAATGCAGTCTTTGGGTTTTTTTAGCATTGAATTTTGGAGAGGAGAATGCTGCTAGTCCCCCCAAAACACATACCTGTGGCTCATAGACACGTGGGCTGCTTTCACAGCCTGCTTCTTACAAATCCCCCCTGCCTTTTCCCCCCAGCTTGATTTTAAAATGTCTGCAGTCCTGGGCAGGAAAGTCCTCTGAGAGTGGGTGCGTACTGCCGTGGTGGCTTGACTTCATACAACGCTGTGCATGTGAAAAGACGCGTACAGAAACAATGACTTAGGTGCTGAGCTGTGTCCCCTCCGAAGCAAAAGACATCCCAGGACCTGTGCTGAGTGTGTTCAGGGTTTAGGAAGAGGCTTAACACGCTACAGCCTTCTGGAGCCAGTGTTAAAACCACATGAAACAGCATTCCCCTCTCCAAGATCGTCATGAGCACGTACAGCGTTTTCCCAGCAGGAGCAGGGAAAGGGCTCCTTTGTCTTGCCAGGGGGTCTGTCGCTGCCGGGTTTGGCAGCTGCCTGTAAACCGCTGGGATTTGTGTCACGGGGGGGGGGGCATTACAGTGTTAAACCCCGGTGCTGGGCTCTTGATAGGATTATGCGGCAATAAGCGAGCGTGAGCCTGGCACATAGGCCGACGATGTAATTCAAAACATATTTAGGGTGTGTTTGGGACATGCCGAGCTTTTTCTCTGCCGTGCTTTTGGTTGTGCCCGTGCCGTGCAAGGGCTTGCCGCCAACCCTGGGTACTGTCTTACAAGTCTGACTGCCCCCAAATCCTATGTTGCAGCTGCCAGGGGAGCTTGTGTGAAAAAGCATTGGTTTGTTGTGGAAAAAAAATTGCTGCAAAGTTTCCGGTGGCGCCTGGGCTTCCCCTTCAGTGTTCAAGGCACAGGGTGGCTTGCGCTGTAAGGAAGAGCTAGCCTGGTCTGCCGAAATGGGGGACGTGACTTGGAAAGCAGATGTATCGTGTGCAGTTGGAAAGGCTGCTGCGGTGGCCACCCTCTGACATCTTCCTCTCTGCTCCCACAGATCCCATCCGCACGACCTGCCCCTGGGCTCGGACCTCAGCCACTCCATCGTTACGGTCATTAGCGGAGAGGAGCATTTTGAGGATTACGGAGAAGGGAATGAAGCAGATTTGTTCTCGGACAGCTTGTGTAATGGGGAAAGCAGCTTTAATAGCTCCTCGTTCCTCTCTCCCAGGTAATGTTCAGCACATGTTTTAACCGGTTTCACTTGCTTAGTGTCTTCGCCTAGGCTTTGTGTGTGTGAGTTGTTTCCTTCAGGTTTGCACACCAGTTGGCCTGCAAGAGGGGGTTCCTGGCAAACTTTGGATACAACGGGATAATCGGCTCAGAAGTGGAAGAGTAGTTGCCTCCCTCAGTCTTTCCTTTTCCTGAACAGTGCCCACCCTCCCATCCAGAGGCACTGATGCCCGGCAGCAGGTGGAAGAGCAGTCTGCGTTTCACATGCGTCCAGGACGGCATCACGTTCCCACTCCTATTAGGGATGTGGCTCCTCGCAGAACCTTTTGGTAGAGAAAACTATCCCTGGTCCTGTTGGATGACAACGTTCTTCTTTCTCTTCCGTGCTTGTATTTTTGGCTTTGATATGATGCTTGGTTGGATTTGCACAAGCTGCGGCAGCCTTCCTTCTCTAGGCAGCCTAAGGGATACGTGGAGCAAGAAGCAGGCTGTAGCGTTTCCCTGCGCTCCTTGCATTAGGGTCCGAAACCAGGCAAATGTCTCCTCCAGCCCATGCAGGGTGAACTGAGGAGCTGGTATGACAGCACAAAACCTGTCAATACTTACTTTCTAAGGGGGGGGAGGAAATAAAAGCTGGAATGATCAACCACTGCTGCAGCCCACAAAGCCTCTGCGATGACCGATAACACCGGGGACGCGTTCCTCCATCAGGCAGTGCATCTCTGCACGAGGCGGGAGTGGTCTCTGCTAGCCACATGCTTGCGTGGAAGACAAGAACGTACTTTTTTCCTTTGGGATGATACGTGTTTGCTGTTTCTGCAGCAGTATAAACGTGATGTAACTTTTTTTTTGCCGTCTGCCTGTTTTCTGCCGGCTTCCCAAAGCCCTTCGTAGAGTTTGGGCAATTCTGGTTGCACAGGACTGCCAGGGAAGAACTGCTGTCAAATCTCCACACGTGTGCTTCGCTGCAGGTCAGGGCTGCCTTCCTTCTTTGCTGGTGCAGCAGCGATTTTGAAGATGTTAACTAAACCTGCGATAGGAGAGCGTTGCTGTAAAGCACGCCTAACCCATTACTTCAGGAAACCAGTGCTCCAGCGCTTGATGGGATGGGATACGCTGCAGCGGAAGGGCCATGTCACTCATCCGCGCTTGTCCTTGGATTGCACTGTGCAGAAGTGCCGAGTGTGGCTGGCTGTACTGGTGCTGCAGCATAGGAAGTGCTCTCGGATAAAAACCAGCCTCGGTGTTTGTTTTGAGTTTCTCTTTGAGCGTGGGCCTCCAACCTAGTCCAGAAGGCTCCTGGCAAGAAAATACTCAGCTAAAGGAGCTTTGCAATCAGTTCAACTCTTTCTTTAATGTCAGCCTGGAGCTCCCAGGTTGCCTGTGCTCCCAGTGTTCAAATCTTGCTCTGTCAGGGCACCGTCTCCCCTCTGCCGCTGTCTCTTTGGATCTTATCCACAAGATCGTGCTCTGCAACATCTTTCCTCTGCTGGGAGGGCCTCACTCGGCACATGGCCACGCAGCTCGTGGTGGTTATGCTGGAGACTCACTGCTGGGGCTTGCTGAGGGAGGCAGGCTGCAGATAAACCCTGCAAAACCTCCAGAGTTAAGAGTGCAGCTCTGAAACAGAGGATTTCCTCATGCCTTTCAGGTCTAGCCCTTACCTTGGATCATCACTGCATGCGTGAAGGTCCTTAGCTGATTGTTCTCTGAGATTGTGCTGTTTTTCTGAACCACAGCCCTGCCTCCCCAGTGCCTTTAAACGTAGTGAAACCGGAAAGAACTACAGGATATCTCTGGTTCAGGCTGAACTTTTTTTTTGGCTGTGGTTTGAATAGGAGGAACAGTATTGCTTGTAAACGGTCACATCGCCACTCACACTTTCCATGTTACAAGAGTCTCTAAGTGGGAATAACGTCGACAAATTTTCCTGCCGCAGCTCCAGATCTTCACCAGAGAACTAATGCAAGAGCCAGGAGCCTTCAGGGAACACTATGGGGTATCGCATTTTCCTGCTTAGTCCTTGCGTGTGTGTTTGCGATCCCTCCTCTTGGGTTGCCACCTCTTCCTTGGCGCGTCCATCCGGTAAGAGAAGTCTCTCTGCAACGCTTGGTGGGAAACGAACGGCAACTGAAAGGAAAAGCTCCTCGCACGCACCCGTTTCGGCTGCCGCTGTGCTGTGTCAGTAAGCACCGATCACCTGTGGAAGACGAACGTTACTCCAGGAGAGGGAGGCAGGACTGCTGGATATGGCGCAGAGGGTGGCAGCTTGCCACGAGGGGTAGGTGGGGACGCCCCGAGGCGCAGTGCGGTTGAGCTCTCGCCCACTCAACGGGCAAGCAACCAACGCAGCCAGAGGCCAAGTATATCTGTATGTACCTGAAGAGTTGCCAGGCTGGCCTGTGGGTTCTCCTCTACGCTTCTTTTCCCATTTTGATTAATGCTTGTTAAGATTCAGGTTCACACCTCGCCCAGGGATGCACCCAGCTGGGTGAGCTGTTTCTGCCTCCCGGCAGGGGTAAGGAGGACTCGCTGAATGGGGCTCACGTGCAGCCAAGCATGGGGGCAGAGCCCAGAAAAGGGTACATCGCTTCTTCCAGGTGCCACAAAGCTTCTGTCACCTCTTACCCTGTGCAAAGCCTGAGCAACTGAACTGACTGCTGGTGGATAATGATTATCCTGGGCCCAAACGTGCCCTAGAGGGTAGGAGGAATGTTTTTCAATTATTTTTTTCCAGGAATGGGAAGAGATGAGCAATTCGGCATTTACTGTTGTTCAGCTGCCTGTTCTAAGGGGGCTTGGAAATACTGTACAGACGGCACAAACTCAGAGGCCTGGCCCTGGGGGTGGCTGGGCTGCTGACACCCCACCGCCACCAAAAAGCGTTAATGAGGGGTTATGCAAAGGTGCTGAGCCAGGAGACCCCTCCTGGGATGTACCGCGCGCTCAGCATCTCCTGGGCCAGGACTTGCCAGTGTGTATCTGTATCACGGGCCTTTGGTTTTAAGCTTGCTTGTGTTTGCTCACACCTTTACCTGTCTTTCTTATTGAACTGCTTTGTTTTTTCACTATTAACCTTTCTTTGATTGAAGTCCGTGGCTTCCAGAAGCATGTTTCCCTGCAGAAAGGATTTGTGGTGTACATTTGGCCCCAAAGTTACACAAACTCTTTGCTGTTCAGAATTCCTTGGCCAAACTCTGTCCTGCCCAGGTCATGGCAGGTGGGGGAAATGGCTCCCTGGTTTGCCAAGTGTTGGTGAATGCCTCGGCAGCTTGTTTTCCACATCAGCAGCTGAAAATGAAAAGCTGATCGGACCCATTAGCTCCCCAGGCTGTTAAAGTCCTGTAGATCCCCGTGTCCGCTGGCTAAACGATGTTCCCTACAACGAGGCAAAGCTGCTGCTTCAGCCTCTGTGTGCTTCGCTTCGTAGGAGACAGCAGTTGAATCACAACCACCTTTCTGAGCTTAGCTTCGAAGGGAGCTCTTTGCGATGAAAATCTGACTCTGTGCATTACTGATGGTGGGTCCGCAGCTGCACAGCTAATCTATTTTTAGAGCACCCCATTGGAAAACGGTGCTCTAATGTGGACCAAAGGATGTGGCTCTTGCCCGTGGCGCCCAGTCCAGCGGTGTGAGAGTTCGGTCGGCATTTACCGAGGCAACCCGTTGCTAGAGCCTCCCGAGACAGGTTGCTTGGAAAATCATGTTGGAAGATAAACTTTGTAGCCGTGTAGGTTTGTGGAAAGCAGGCACCTCGCCTCCCCTGGGCTCTCGGCGGGGTCCCCCACAAGAGCAGCCTGGCACAGGGGTTTGAAAACGTAAGCCAAGCTTGGCTGCTCTAAGTAAGTCTCGGGGGGGAGGGTGATGGAAGTCCTGCTGATTTATAGCAACTCCATATTGACTGCGATCTGGCTTCTAAAATCGAGGGGAGAGGTGACCCAATCTGCCCTGAAGTTCTTAATTGCAAGTCTGGTGTCTCACACCAAAAGCTCCCCTGCCCAAACGTACGCTCAGCTTGTGGAAGCCACGGATGAAAATCAGCCCCGTCTGTTCTGTCCTGATAAAATGACCCTTGTGATTTCTCTAGCACCAATCCGCTCGCTGCGAAACTGCACAGCATTATCGCAGATGAAGCATTTGAGTTTTACTGTAGCCAGTGCCACAAACAAATCAACCGCCTCGAGGATCTTTCTGCTCGCCTGAATGATCTTGAAATGAATAGGTAATTGGGCTTGTGTGTGGCCATTTCAGTGTTGGGAATGATGCTCTTGAGGGGAAGACTCTCCTTGTCTTGCACAGCTTTCCTTTGCTGGTACGTTGCTTGATTCCTGGTTGCGAAAGGGGATGAATTTCACTGAATGAGGTGAGCCTCTCCAGGTGGTAAAGGTTGTAATAACATTACGGAGGGTGAGCAGAAGTTTCCTTTAATCTGAGCCGCGGAGGCTGGCAGACAATGAGAGTCTTCCCTTCTGCTCTGGGCAGACTCTTTGCATGTCCTGCTGAGTGGTGGGTGCTTCTCCACGCTCCGAGTAATGCAGTTCTTGCATCGGGACTTGAAGCCGTAAGCTGATCATGTACAGTATTTCTGTCACCAAGGAAAAGACTGCCAGGTCTTCTGGCCGGTAATACCCAGCGTGGAGGCACGCCTGAGTTGCTGGTTCAACCTGGAAGGGCAGGTACAGCCCGTCCTCCCGCTGCAGCAGTAACCTGAAAACATCAGCTTGCTCTCCGTGGCTTGGGACCTCTCCCGTAGACGCTTGCTTCGCAGCAGTAAAATCGTGTTTCACCCTGCTTTGCCAGCTGCCTGCCCACCTATGTGCCACCACTAGCCAGGTAGATGTGATAAACGCCGGGGCCTTTGCGTAGGAACTTCATGAGGTTTTTGAGGTCTACCAGCCAGCAGCTGGACTTGCTGATTTGACAAGTGGGCAGGGATTTCTATTTGTTTGTTTATTTTTTCAGCCCTGTTTGCAGTCCACTGGCTGGAAGGATGGTGGCTTTAATGATAATCATTCTGCTCGCATCTGGTGTGCTATTTCACGCCTGGTTTTTGGTCATGCTTTTGGCCTCCATCTGTCCTCTACAGGGGCAGTGTGACATGGGAGCTCTCCTGGGCCATATAGCTATGGGAAGAGAACTGGAAAACAAATAGGGGCTTGACCTTAATTTTTTTTAGTGGAAAAAGTACCTCTCTCCCTCCATCTTTCTCAGGCAAATAGTTGCCTTTGCGTTTGGAGGCCTTGAGGGTCAGTGATGGGTCTCCAGTTATGCAGTTATTAAGGGGAACGCTGGACTTCCCTGGGTGCACCAGTAGCCCCGCTCCATTTCAGGCTTTCTCCACCAAATTTACCTGCAAAGCTGAACTAACACTCCTGAGCCTCCTGTGATGGATGGGATTGCCAGAGGAGGCTTCCCTGTCCCGTGGTTTTGCGGTGGGAATTCCCCAGGCCCTTTGGGCTCAGGGCGAGTAGGTGTGATTCCTCCATCTGTGTTTGGTGTTTCCCATGCACAAATTTGCTGGAAACTTGTTCCAAGTGCCCTTGCGCGCTGACCCGATGGAAGGGGCATCGCCCACCCTCTCCGCGGTGAGGACACGAGAGGTGTCCCCGTGCAGCACACGGGATGTGGCAGGACCTGTTTGCTCCCAGCATCACCAGCAACACGAAGCCCTCGGTGCAGGGGACACGTAGGCGAAGAGAGCAGCAGAAACTGGACCAAAATCTGGGCCAAGCAGCTTCGCACCATGCCTGGCAGGCAAAGCCTGAAGACACCCGCTCCAGAGGATGCTAGCAGCTGGGGTGAAGCCCAAGCTGCCGTGAAATAGCCTCACTCTTAAAGGCTGTTGGTGTATATGCAGCATTTTACACTTGGAATAAGGTGGGGAGCCCGATCCCAGCATTGGGGCGCTGCTGCCCGAGCCCGCGGCATGGGAAGGCAGGGAAGAAATCCGCCAGGAGCTTGGGATGAACCAGTTCTGTAAAAGTATGTTTTGTTTTAGTGCCCTTGAAGCAGCGGTGGTGTGTCTTATCCCCTCCAGAGAGACCCGCGGGTGCCAGCACTGCTTTCCGATAAGCTGTTTGCGGGGAAAAATATTTTTTCCTCCCTCCGCTGCTGGGGACGTACATGACTCATTACAATTGCTGGCAAACACGGGGGCCTGACCTCCTCCCCTCGGGTGGGTGCCGAGCGTCCTTGAAGCCCGGCCAGCAGCGGCTCTTGCACTCCTTGGAAGTGTGGGGTTTGAGGATGCACTTTTGACACGAGGGCTGGTAACCCTGACAACAACCCGCTGTCAGTCATTGTTTTTTTGTTTTTTTTGTTTTTTTTTTTAAAAGAAAATTGTCCTTGGCTATTTTTAATTCCTCCTTCTAAGAACTAACGTAACTGTTGCAGCTCAAGGCAGGGATGGACTCCCAGATGATTTTTTTTTTTCCCTTTAAACTGAGCTAAGCACCAGGGAATGCAATTGCTGCTTCTCCGCTTGGGCTAGGGCTGTGTTTGCTGTCATCGTTCAGTGATGATTTGGTATCAGTGATGTGTCCCAGTGGCATCTGTTTGACAACAGTGGGTGTTTGGGTGGAAGATGAGGAGTGAGGTCCAAGCCCCGCTTGCTTCACTAGCGTGCAGCTGCATCGATCACGACTGAAGGACTGGAAGGAGCATATTAGCAAGAAGCTGTTTCTGAAAAAGGCTTTTTTTTTTTCTCAGCGGGGAGAGCCCGCAGCCCTGTCCCGAGGGGCAGGGGCAAGGTAACGCAGACCTTGGCTGTTCATACCGCGGGTCACGCTGAGTACTAGCTAAACCCTGACCGCTGTGGTATGGTGGCAGCTGGCTCGGGCATACGCAGAGCCGGGTTGTGTGATCTCCGTCAGTTATCTGCGCAAAGGAGAGCTTGTACCCGTCCGCAGCGATTATAACGGTGCCCGTGCTTAAAATCTAGAAAGGGACATGATCAACAGCTCCTAAAATCTGAGCTACACGTAGGCAGCAATTCTCTGGTGATCCAGAGCCAAATAGCGAGAATAATCTTTGTGAGAAGTGCAAACCCGTGTGCGGAAGGATGGAAGTGCCCGTTTGCAGGCGGGAGGTGCGCCCTGTCCCCCAGCTGCCGGGCAGGGAGCTCCCAGGGGGGCGGCAGGGGAGGGAGGGCTGGGGTGCTGCGGGGTGCGGGAAACGTAGCTCGGTCTGCCATCGGTGCTGGGCTGAAGCCCACCAAACTCATTCCTATTATTAGCACTTTCCTTGGGGATCAGCTTTCAGGACGGGGATCGACCGGTGAGAGGATACCGTTGCTGGAGGCGGTGAGGTTTTCTGCAGTGCTATGCCATTTGGTTCGTTACCAACGGGCTGTTAAATACGTGAGCGGTTTCCTCGTCTCCTTTTACTGGGGTGGCCGGGCTGTGCGGGTGGTGCATGCCGCGTGGGCGCTCCCCTGCCATAGCAAAGGATGTGCCCCGGAGTGCTTGCAGTTTCCTGTTTCCCTTGCTCTCCACTGTCAGCTTTCCTAACTCTTTCCTGTTTTTTCTTCATTTTGCAGTCCACATAAAAGGCTCTCAAGCAAGAAGGTGGCAAGGTAAGCTCATACTCGTATTACTGCGCGGTGAGAGGGGTGCCCGTACTAGCTGCCGGGCCCACGGAAGGAAGGCTGTCGAAATAAGTTTGCAGTGTTGTACTTCTGGACGTGTTGCATAGCGCTGGGGAAAAGCGGGTTTAACTCTGATATAGTTTGGAACGGCTGTTTTTCTGAAATGAGGATTTCTCACTCACGCACGCAGCTGGAGGCTGGTGTCAACCTGACTTTTTACCAGGGCAAAAGTAGGGGTACTTTCCCCTCTCCATCCTGCCAGTGCCCTAGCAGGGGGCACGTGGAGCGGGAAGGAGTCTCTAGAAGGGCATGTCCCTCTGGGCTGCTTGACTGGGCTGTCTCCTCCCCAGTGTCACCGTGGTGGGTCTCTAGGATCTCTAGAAGACCGGCCCAGTCAGTACACCCGCTTGGAGGGATTTCTTCAGCACCCCAAAAAAGCTAGTCGTCTTGGATGACTCTCTTGGCTCTGTTTTTATTTTGCTCAGTGTAATCCTTGGCACTTAACTTTGCACCCTGGGGTCTAAAGTTGTGCTGCTTCTGTCCTGCGGGACCATCTCGCGTGATGCCATTTGTGGGCATTTTTATCCCTGCCTGCACAGGAAAAACTGCAGAGTTTGCTCTGAATCACGGGGGCAGAGGGTCCATCCCCTCTCGATGTTCACCTTTCCTGTCCCGGCTTCACCGTCCCTCCTGTGTCATCGTGCTTTTAAGAATATACTGAGGCTTACCTTAGCTGTCCTGCCTGCCTCTGCCCTGCTCGGGAGGGAGATTGCCCTCTGCAGTCCTTGGCTTTCTCTTTGCTCATTTCCGAGCAGGGCAGGGATGCTGCAGAGGAACAGGCAGCTCGTTTTGGGTGATGCTCGTACCCCCGTGCGCTGGCACTCAATCTGCTCCCTGCGCTGACCCGAGCAGCTTCTGTACACCTCTCCCTCCCGGCTGTGCTCTCACAGCTTTCCCTTCTCCGTTTTTCCTGCGGTCAGCAAGTCTTCCCTGGCACGATTTCGCCTCCTGGCGAGGAAGCAGGTCCTTGATACTACATTTCCCAGTTCCGGTCATCTTACTTTCTAGATCTTTGTGGAAAACACTGGCAGGAAAGAAGGTTGAAGGGAGCAGCCTGTCCCCAGTTTTCCTGTTTTGGGTCTAGTTTTTGTCCTGTGTCTGGCAGAGCAAATCTGGGGAGGATCTGAATTAAGCTTTTGGGAATGGAGATGCCCTGTCTATGGGGGATTGAGCCCTCCTGGCCCTTTGCATTTATAAGATGCTTTTCTGAGGCTGGGACTTGTGGGCTTATGTAAATATTGGTTAATTCAAGAGCAGTCGAGTTTAGTTTGTGGTAACAACGGAGGTAACAGGGGTTTGCTGTGAGTAGAGCCAGATACTTAAGATCAGCCCAAAGAAAGCCCTTTGTTGCAGATACTGTAATTACTGAATAATACCAAAACACTTGCTTTTAAGAAATTGATTTTTATTTTGGTAAGGGCTCTTTCCTGACTTTTGTTATCCAGGTTCTGCCAAGAAATCTCAGCTGCTTAGGCCCTGTTGTGCTTGGCATGATTTAAATGACAAATGTGCCCAAGACTTCATGATCTAAATATATACTCAGGGTGAGGATGCAAAATAAGGCTGGTACTCAGCTGTGGTCTCTTTGGTAAATGCCAGTTATGCTTCATGAATATTTGCATGAGCGTATTGTGTAGCAGGGTGAACTGGGGAGCCCAGGTTACAAATTCCTTGGAAAACTGAGGTTCAGAGAGCCCTCTGTGGTTTTCTCGTTCACCTCCTGCTCAAAGCGGTGCTGGCTTCAAAGGGTGGATCGGGCTGCTCGTCGTTTGTGTGGCAGTGGCAGAGCAGAGTGGTTTTCTCCAGGCAGCATCTGCCTGGCGTTCACGGAGCTGGAATACAACCACCCCTCCCCATGGCAATAGCGGTTTCTTGTGCCACGAGACGATGGAGCTGATCTGCAGCGATAACACGAGGAGGATTAAGTGCAGATCAGCCCCTCCATGGGGTGTCCTTTAGATCGCTGCAAAGCTGTGGACACCAATGTCGCAAGGCCTTGCTAATGATTAGCTCGCTCTCGGCTGTGGCGGCCAGTGCGGGGAGGTGGGCTGGGGTGTTTCGCAACAGGTTTGGGGTTTTTTTTTCTCCCCTCCCTCCCCTTACACCCGCTGCTCCCCACCTCTTATTAACCTTATCAGTGGCTAGAGCAGAGTACTCTGTCCTGGATAATACGCGGCTTTTGTATGTTCATAAAAAAAAGAAAGTGAAAAGAGTGAGCTCTTATCTCTTCCCATTCCAAAGAGCAAGAACAAATGATCATGGTATGAAGTCCCATCAGCATGTGTCCACGTCTGCGCTTCCCTCGCAGGGCACGTTCGTTCAGCCGGTAAGCAGCCGCCCGCTCAGCCCTGTTATCCAGGCGTGCCGAGGCGGTGAGCTTCATTGCCCGTTGGAGCTTGCGGTGGTGAGAAGGACCTGGCCCATGCCGTCCTTTGCTGTAAATCCTGCAGCCCAAGAAGGAGCAGTGCTACTAAATCCCCTTGGAAAAGGAGGTGGCAGCTGAGGAGGGGAGAGAGGGGACTGTATCCTGCAAGGGCGGTTGTCATCTGAAATTGCCGTGTCCTGCGATGTTCGCTCTAATGTTCGTGTTGCTGTGGGTTGGGGTGGTTTGTCTCTGTTACAGACAGTTGCATCAGACGAGCACGCTGTCCGTGGGGGTGATGGAAGGGTCTTACCGGGATACGCTGGAGTGTACAGAAGAGGACATCACGGACAAGGTAAGAGTAGTGCTGTCTACGCTATCCTGGAGCATGTAGAGGCTTGCGATGCTCTGAGATCCCCAGGCAGGAGTTAGGCTGAAGCTTCTCTTACTGCGGCACTGGGTAGATCAGTGCAGGTGGGAAGTACGAAGCCCTCCAGAATTGAGGGGATGGAGAATGAGAGTGCTCTGAGCTGAATGGCAGAGGCCCCGTGTTGAGTCAGGAGGTGGCACTGGTGCCTTCTCCCGGGGGTGGAGGCGTGCTGCCCTGTTTGCAGTGTGGGTGGTTGCCCTCCAGCTCGCCGGGAGGAGGGGGTAGCTGTTTGCAGGCTGTATTCTCACTTCTGCTTCACGTAATAAGATGTTCTCAGATTCTGCTTTTCTGAGATGAACAAAGTCGCCTGATGCGAAACAAGGACTTCCTTTCCTTGGCCTTGGCATGCTCTTGCCGTTGCTGCTCGTGCCGTGAAGATGTAAAGCTGACTTTGTGCTGGTCCTGTTGGATTTTACCGGGGTGTTACGAGAAAAGGATTGTAGGGCAAGATGGGAGCGGGGCAGGAGCACAAGAAAGCTTTTGTTTGAGCCCCCCCAGTTAAAACTAGCTAAGGGAAAGCAGGAAAGGTAAAGATAGGTGAGTTGTGGCTTGTGTAAGCATTTGCTGCAGTCCCAAAACTCCTTGAAAAGGGCTTTTTAATTCTGGAATCACAAATAGCTGCATGGAGCAGAACGTGAAAGGGAAATACATATGTGTGTGGCTGCACTCTGCTATAACTGTCTTTTATGCATTACCTTTAAAAAAAATTCTTAAAAATTAACATTTTTCCAAGTCTGAAAGGTGAATAAAACGTTCCTGAAGACATCTGGCTTGGGAAACCATGTATGCACTTCTGGGAAAGGCCTTGTGTCCCTCCATGTTTCTTTTCTTAATACACTTGCATGTCGCTTGCCCTTCTCCCCAGAGCGATGGTTCGGGTTTTGCAGACGTGCTCCTAACTGCCTCTCTTTCATGATTGTTCTTGTATGGGTGTATGGGATTTTTGGGACCGCGAACTCTGTCCTTCTGCAGTTCCCCACCCACCCGCGCTCCTGCTTGGGTGGGAAGTGAGGGGCACTCCCGGCCCCCTTTGCTCTTCAAAGTTGTGCGCTATTTAGGGAAAGTGAATGAAAATGCAAATACAGCTGAAAAAAGCCCCGTATAGGTACAGGGAGAAAATACTCATCTCCGATCCTTTCCCACCAGCTAGCATTGTTTCCTCCCATGTGGCTTCATTTACATATAGCTGTGAACCCAGGGTCCTTCAGTCCTGTTTCAGGCAGCTGGTGGTTATCCCCAGCCTCAGGGCTGCACTTGGATGCGGCGGAGCTCTGGTGATCCAGCTGGGGTCCCTCCCTCTAGACCTCCATGTAGGATGTCATCATTACTGAGAAACCGGGGTGTAAAAGGATGTTTTAAAAGGATGCTTTAAATCAAGGCATGGCTACCTGATTCCAGTGGCAACCAGCTATTTGTAAGTAGCTCGCCCAGGAGCAAGACCCAGTGATGGCTCCCACAGCTCAGGCTGCCTTGTGCAGTGAAGAGCGGGACGCAGGTAATGCCAGGAGCTGTGTCGGGGTGGCCGGCTCTGAATCGGTGCAACAAACCGAGGCAGCCCTGAAGCGAGCGGAGAGCCCCTGCACGGCGTGCTGGAGGTGGTGGGAGTTGCTCTGGCACTTGGTGCCGCTTTGCCAGCGGGTTTAAGCACGGGGGGCTGATCCTCCCCTCTCCCGTCGCGCAGGTAGTCTTTCTGGAGAAGCGGGTGACGGAGCTGGAGAAGGACACTGCTGCTAATGGCGAGCAGCACAGCCGCCTCAAGCAAGAAAACCTGCAGCTCGTGCACAGGTAAGGGAGCCCAGCTTGTGCCATGGCCAAAAGGCAGCTTAGCATCGCCTGTGGTGCCTTTTTCTTTTCCCCCTCCGCATACAGCAGCACCCTGTGCCTTCCCCGCAGGCCAGCTGTCTGCCTGCACGCAGGCAGGAGCTGCTCGGGAGCTGCCGGAGCGTGTGGGGAAAGGAGGCAGCAGGAGAGGAGGGAGACGGACAGAAAATAGCAGGAAAGCTTCACAGCTCTGCCCTTGACGATCCGATCCCGCCCTGGCAGAGAGCAGCCGCGGTTAAATCCAGCCGGGGTTCAGGCTGCCCCCTCTGCACGAGGGCCGTGCGTGGGATCACGGCATCCTGCACGCGCTTTTTTGGGGTCTCTGGGAAATTCCCAGGAGCGCAGGAAGCGGCTTGCAGCTCAGCCGGGACAAATGGCAGATATCTCCTTTTGCAATGTTCTCCTCGGATGCACGTAACCGTAACAGTGCTTCTTAGATCTTTTTTTTTTCTATCTTTTTTTTTAATGTGCTTCCCCGCCCCACGAGTCCATCCTGAAAGGTCTTTGTGGAGCTCTGGAGCTCCAGGGGTTGGCTCAGAGGACCGCAGGGGCGTCATGCTTCTTGGAAAGCTTCCCATTCAGGGAGGATGTATACTTCATACTCACTCTGTATGGACTCTTTCTGGCCCTTATTTCACCCGTTAGGTCTGGGTGGAAGGTACAGCACGGTCCCTACTACCCATCTCTACCCTCCCCACAGCCAGCCTTGATCCTGTTCCTTTCGGATCCTGGCTGGGGTGTAGCCCTTTGGATTCCATTTGATGTAATTGCTGTCTTTACTAATCCGGCAGGCTTCTCTCTTCCAGCAGCTTATTTATCCTTGGCAGATAAACCAGCAGGAGTTTATCTATAGGGCTGTAAGACTGTTAAGTAACAATCGTGTCAGGGAACCGAGCGATTCAAACAAAGGTTTCTCTAAGCCCTGATAAACTTCGCAGCAAGGGAAATGTTTTCACTTTAGCGGCTTGGCCCAGAAGTGTCAGTCGGCTTTTAATCAAGTAAAGCCCCAAGTGTACTCGTTGCTGGTTGAAGAATAGGTTCTTCTGGCAAAAGCCTTCCCCACCTGCCTATGCAAAGCGATTGCATAAACTCCAGCACGCCAGCCTCCTAGCCAACCTCAGCTCTCGGGCCACTGCTGGGGTCGGGTGATTTACTGCAGCGCGGGAGCGTGGGCCACCTCTGCCTGCTTCGGAGGGCAGGTGGGCCTGCTGGCAAAGATCCCTGTCCTGTCCGAGCAAACGCGGCCGCTGCCTGCGCTGTCACAGTCTCTGGACCGCGTGGAAGTTGCCGTTACGCTGACACGCAGAGAGGGTTGACCTGCAGATCCCGTGTTTTTTTGCTGGGGACATGAGAGAGTGAAAAGGAGGAGGATTGGGGCTGTCGTCTTCCTTTCTCTAGGCAACGAGACTACTTCAGGGCAGAGCAAAGGAGCCCAAAATGCTAGAAACAGCTGAAGGAGGATTTCTCTGCCATGGCCACTACAGGCGAAACCACAACCCTGGGATTTACGGTTGGATTCGATGATCTTAAAGGTCTTTTCCAACCTAAATGAGTCTATGATTCTATGAGATTCCGATTAAGTAGCTTGTTCTGGGTGATGCTGTGACTGTGACCCACAGGCTGTGGGTTATAAAATGATTACTGCGCTTTCACCCTCGCCTCACCCCCTTGTTGGCCTCCCCCTTAAAAAGGGTTTTGATGCAGCCTGGAGACTTAAAAAAACTAGACAGAGCCAATACCAGCATGTACCACCTGGCTTGTTTTATTTGACTGTCATGTTGGTCAGCAGTAGCGTCCTGGGGGGTTTCATGGACCGGGTTGCTTTCCCACCGCATCTGCTGGGACAAAGTGAAGCCCTCATATACACTTGCTGCTTGAGATGGCGATAGGTGGGCTTCCCTGGAAGCTTGCTCTATTTTACGGTCTGCTTCTCCCAGCTCTCCTGTGCGGTGGGAGAAAGGCTGGGAAGAGAGTCTGATCCTTCCCTTGGGATGGCAGCATGGCGGGGGTGAGCCATCAGGAATGGTTAATCCTCTCTCTCTCCTCTCTGCAGAGCAAATGCTCTCGAGGAACAGCTGAAGGAGCAGGAGCTGAGAGCTGACCAAACACTCCTGGAGGAGATCAAGAAGCAGAGGGAGCTGCTGAGCAAAATGGAGAGGGAGAAGAGCATTGAGATTGAGAACCTGCAGGCCAGGTGGGGCTGGGGCAGGGCTGGGTGGTGGCAGGTCTCCTGGACCCGCATGTACGTGCTGGAATACGTGTACGGGCTGCCGCTTTGCAACTGCAGCCTTTGGGGAGACAAAGCACGGTAGACAGTGAGTTAACTTGGTTAAAGGTGTAACTAAAGTCATTATAAACCCTGAGTTTTGGCTACTTCTCCTACCTTCATTCCAAAATCAAGCCTCTCCGTGAGCCTAGTCTCAGACTCTTTATTTGAATTTCCCTGATGCAGTTTAAATTTAGCTCACATCCTCTATCCGTGCGCCTGCCCCACCGTGTGTGAATGAAGAGGTGGTTTGTTAGTGCTTGTTCCCGTGAATAGACCCATGGAAGTACGTTTGATGCTGTCTTCCGCCTTCATGGAAACAGGCAAATACCTGGGAAGGAAGAGTTGTCCAAGAGGCAGTGTCCCGGACAGGGTGCTTCCTGCTGCCTGTTGGCTTCCAAAAGGGAAAAATGGTGGGGAGAGGTTTCACTTATTTGACAGGGTTTTTGCTGCTTTCCCAGAGTGTGTTTTGCTATTGTTCAACCCTTGCAGTAAATGAAAGATGAAGGCAGTGGGGTTTTTTACTGGGCTTGTAGTAGGATAGTTACCATGACAAACGGATGTTACTTTACCTGGCGAATGCAAAGCTGAAGCCCTCTCTGAACCCCTGCTCTGACTCTGCCCAGGCGATGTGTCTGCTTTTTGGTGCCTAGTGCTGAGCCTTGCCCATGGACTGATGAAGCCCTTGGCCTAAAGAATAGCGTTGACCTGATTGAGAAGGGCATGGCACTGGACAGCGGACTTGCCAGAAGTCGTGTGGATCCCCGCTTTTTCCCCTGGGAGTAGAAATAGTGGAAGTCTCAGGGTTTGCTTTGAAAAGATAAATCCCTGCTGGCTTGCCTTCAGCAGGTCCTGGTTTAATATTCCTAGTGATGTTTCAAGCAAGTCTCCTACACTTGGGACGCTTGGGTGAGTTTCTTAAACATCTCTTTACTGTTGCAGGCTGCAGCAACTGGATGATGAGAACAGCGAGCTGAGATCCTGTGTCCCTTGTTTAAAAGCTAACATTGAAAGACTAGAGGAGGTGAGGACCGTGCGTGCTTGGGGTCCCCAAGCCGGAGCTGTGTTTCTGGGTTCCCGCCTGCTGCCTCGCATGGCCGGAGCTGAAATTCTCATTTACGGGAAGGGCCTACGTGAGATCCATGTAACATAACGAGCAAATCAGCTGCTTCTGCCTTCCAGTCCCTGCAGACCTCACCTCGGACCAGAGCTGTCCCATACCACTTATCCGTGCAGGTTCCCAGTGTTTGGCTTGGAAGCTGGGATTAACAAACCCCTAATAAATCTCTCTGTGACAGCGCAGCCTGCGTGAAGCCACAGCGTGCAGTGGTGGCAGCCCTGTCCTGGCTGGTTAGGAGGGGACTCGTGCCCTCTTGTGGAAGCTTGTCCCCATCCCTGCGGCTGCAGCCCGCAGCGGGACAGTCCACTGGAAGGGAGGAAGAGGAGCAGGCATGCTTCATCTCCGTGTCCTGCCCGGGCAGATTCGCCCTCACTGGGATTTGCGAGTTGAGTCTTCAAAGCACCGTGTTATCTCCCAGATCCTCTCCCCTCTCGCTCCGCTCAGGATTCAAGGCCGTGCAGGTGCTGACAGGGCTGGGGTGGGAGGCTTGCCGAGGCGACGCAGTCTCCGTGGGATGGAAAAGATCCTCATTTTTGGAGAGAATGTGGGTTACAGGTGTAACATCTGGTACAAAGGCTGCGTTTTGTTTCTGTTCAAGCTTGTGGCAGATGTAAGATTAAAATTTAAGTGAAATCAAACCTCTCTGCCCCGCTGAAGGCCCTCAAGCATTTCATCCACTCACAGTCTTTGAGCCTGCGGGAGAGCGCTGCAGCTCCATTTCTACCTGACCCAGCCAGGGTGAAGCGGTCTCTGTCTGCCAAGACCTTGTAAGCACAGTGCATGGAAGCTGGGGGTAGGAAAACCACTGTCGGTCTGAGGATGAATTTCCTGCCTAGGTGTGTTTCAGCCACCCGAAGTTGGTTTTGATCCTTAATCTCTCTGCAGAGTGGTGCTGCTTTTCTCCAGTTAATGGGATTAACGAGGAGTGAGAGGTGCAATTGCTGCCCCTCCGTGCCGAGGAGAGGAGTCCTGCTGATGAACTGCTGTCTTGTCCAGTGTCTGAAATCAGGATTTTGTTGTCAGCGTTGCGTTTCCCACTGGTGTGGTGCTTTTGGTCCTCTGCTCCATGGACCAGGACACCACTCACAGTGGAGCTGGAGCTCCCCCTCAGAGCTGCTCCTCACCTCTTCGTGGCATGGGCCATCCAGCACCAGCGTTGGCTGGGGTCTCGTGGCATTTTTGGCTTTCTGAAAGCCAAAACCTTCCTCGTGGGAAGAGCCAGGCTGGAAGCTGTGAGCCTGGGGAGGGGGTGAATTGGTCATAGGCAGAAGGGTGCTGCCGTACAGGGAAGTGTCCTGCGCAGGGCTGTTGTCATCACCAAGTGACAAGCTTTACCGGCCATCTCAAACGTTCAGCCAAGGCTTTGAGTATAAGAAGGGGACAGAGTGGGAGAGCTGGGCTGTATGTTTCACATCCTGGCTTGAATTGGTCATATTCCTTCTTGGATCAGTCAGTTAAATTCTTTCGTATCTGAAACCAAGAATGAGCATCTCTAGAGTGGCTTAAGATCTTGGATTCATGGCTTTTCTGAAATTCAGACCTAAGGAGCCTTATGATTTAATGTCTCTTCTTGGCCTGTAGCCCCTGTGCTGGCCCCAGTCCCACCCAAGCCGTATCGCACGCCAGCATCGCGCTGCCCAGAAAGCCACACAAGTGCAGATATTTGCCTGCGTGCGCTTATTCTTGAGTCATCTCTTATTACCTCGCTCTCTTAGCAGTGCTATTTTGGTGCGTGGCTCTTCTTGGTGCTGCCAAAGCACTCGAGCTCTGAAGCGCTCAGACAGCAAATGAAATCCCAGCAGGCAGAGCATCCAAATGCGTCAGCGAGAAGAGCCTTCCCCGCGGTGCTCAGCGTGTGCCGTGTCCTTGAGCGAGTGGGAAGAGCCCTGGCAGCGCCGGAGGAAGACACGCCTTGTGACTATTGCCTTTCGTGTCGTTACAGGAGAAGCAGAAGCTGCTGGATGAGATCGAAGACCTCACTGTGCAGCTCACAGAGGAGCAGGAGAAAAAGAGGAAGATGGGGGACAAGCTGAGTCAGGAGAGGCACCAGTTTCAGAAGGAGAAGGAGTCGACGCAGGAGGTAAGTAGAGTTGGGGCTGCCTGCCACAGCCCTGTCCTGCTAGTCCCCCACATTAGGGCTATGTGGGGAAGCTGGCCTTGGCAGCCTCTCCAAAAATAGTTATACCTGGAGCATTTGGTCCTGCCTGGGCAGAGAAAGGTAGTACAGCAGCTTAGCTATATAACATATGTTGCTTTTGCCTGCGTTAAAATTCAGCCGAGCGTGTCTGCATCTGCAAACCCAGTGGGGCTGTGCCACCCTGGCCCCTTCCCGCGAGGGCCCGTTTCTCTTCTGCGTTTCCAGGTGTCTGTGTGGATGGTAATTCCAGCTGGAGGCTCAAACAGGGCTTGCTGTTGCGATAGAAAAGGAGCTTTGGGCCTCCAAGTGGAAATTATTGTCAATTTGGCGATGCTAAGAGCACTCGGGTGAGATGGGGATTCACGGTGCTGTGGCAGGAGGGAGCTGCCCAAGCAGGTGCCCACGTTGCTGGAGGGGGGTCAGTCTGTCTGTCTGCTGCTGCAGACCTGGAGCCAGTGTCTTTGGTGCTCCAACAAAGTCCTCCCAGGGCTGCTCTCATGTATTTAAGTAGCTTCCCCTCTCCTGTTCGTTAGAGGCGTGGGGGAGGAAGGGGAAGCCATCTGCATCCCCAGAAAGGGTCTGTTCAGTGACGGGGTTGCTCCCAGCTGGGGGACAGCCCATCTGTCACACCAGCCATGACCAGGACACGCAGGAGATGCGGCACTCGGTTGTCCCCTTCCCTTGTCCTGCAGCTCATTGAGGACCTCAGGAAGCAGCTCGAGCACTTGCAGCTCTTCAAACTGGAAGCTGAGCAGCGAAGAGGCAGGAGCAGCAGCATGGGGCTCCAGGAATACAACAGCAGGACGCGGGAGACGGAGCTGGAGCAAGAGATCAAGCAGCTCAAGCAGGTAGGCAGGGCTGGGCAGGGAGGGAAGCGTCTTGGCTGCTCGGTCTGCAAAAGGGGATGCCGATTCCCTGACACCGAGGAGTGGTCGGGGGGGCCCGGGGGCTCCCTCCCGAGGAGCTGACTGTGGATCTGGCTGCCCACTGCTTTCTTGCTTTCCTGTCCTGGGACAGGAGAGGTTGGCTCCTTCCTCTGAAGGACGGCACGTACACTCAAAAGCCCCTCTCTCTGCTGTGTCCCCTGGATCTCCCCAGCACGTTGTGTGTTTCCAGAGGTTCTCCAGGCTCTGTGAAATCGGAGGCAGGAGACAGAGTGCTGTTCCCAGCGCTGCGTGAGCTGCTGGTTAGGACGAAAGCCCCTGCCTTCCCTGGCCGGTTCTGCTCTGGGGGCACCATGTGCTTCAGCACCATCTGATGTTTGTCTGTTGTGAACAGGATAACAGGAGCCTGAAGGAGCAGAACGATGAACTGAACGGGCAGATCATTAACTTGAGCATCCAGGGAGCCAAGAACCTCTTCTCAGCCTCCTTCTCTGAATCCCTGGCAGCAGAGATCAGCTCAGTCTCCAGAGACGAGGTACGTGCAACGGGGTACTGCTTACCTCAAACCACATCTTCCCGGTGTGGCTGGTGTTGCTCCTCCTCTCTCAGCCAACCGAGGGCCTGGGAGGAGCTGATGTGGCCCTGTCTGTGGTACGGCTCGCTCCCAAAATGCACTTGAAAGCTGTCGTGAGCAAAGAAATACCCACGCAACTATTTGAAGAGCTTGCAGGACTTACCCTGCCTGCCAGCCCTCCTTCATGGGACTAGGGGAAGCTGCTCCCTTCTAATTTGCTGATACTGGCAGCTCCGCTTTGCCTGCCCTGTGACTGCCTTCCTCTTCCTGGGACAGACCAGTGAGCACGGAGTGTGCGTGTCTGTCTTTAGCTGTCTTAAAACAGATCTTAAAGATCTTGGCTTCTCTGGCACGTGCTCTCCCTGCTCCGTGGCTGTACCCTGGATACTGGTGTGCGAGCCCGTGTAAGTGTCAGAATTATATCTTTCAGACCCTGAGAAGTGTAATGGGAAAGCACACATGTTTTGGGGGCCAAAGGGAGATGCGATGCTCCCTGCTTTCTCCACGGTCCCATCTGGCTGAGAAATTGAGGATGGACAGGAGTGAGCAGGGCCAGTAGCTGAGGACATCTCCTCATCTTGGGGGGATGGGAGGATGGGAGGCTGGGGGGAGCCCCAGAGATACCAGTACATATTCCCCTAGCAGTTGGGCATCTGGGTGCCAGGCTCAGCCTGCCGTGCCTACGCTCCCCACGTGGGGCTCTGGTTTCTGTGGTTGAGCACCCACTTGCACGGTTTGAAGATCTGGGGATGCAGGAGCATCCGTCAGGGGAGACCCGCCGGGGGTAAGGGCATCCCACAGGCCAGGAGCAGGGAGTTCAGCTGGGTGTTACGGAGCCTGCGGGAGTCGTTGGCAAACCGCCTGGTCCCTGGCAGTCACGCCGTGAAACACTCGTACGTGGCCAGGAACAGCCCAAGCCAGAACGAGGAAGGGGGGGAAACCTCCGTGGGTCCACAGAGCCGCGAGAAGCCCCGCGTACACTCAAGAGCCCCTCTCTCTGCTGTGTCCCCTGGATCTCCCCAGCACGTTGTGTGTTTCCAGAGGTTCTCCAGGCTCTGTCGAATCGGAGGCAGGAGACAGAGCGCTGTTCCCAGCGCTGCGTGAGCTGCTGGTTAGGACGAAAGTCTGTCCCTGGGCAGCGGCAGGCTGTGACCGCTCACTCCCTTTCTCCCTCCCTTGCAGCTCATGGAAGCAATCCAGAAGCAAGAGGAGATCAACTTCCGCCTGCAGGATTACATCGACAGGATCATCGTGGCCATCATGGAGACGAATCCCTCCATCCTGGAAGTGAAGTAAGGGCGGCCAAGAGCCGCCGGCTGTGCGCTCGTCGATGGGTGTGGATCTGGTGCTCTGAGAGGCTAAAGAGGGACCCGAAACGTCTTTGCTCTTGATGAAGGCACAAGGAAGCATCGCGTCGGATTGGTGGGTGAATTAGCCAGCGGACCAGGGGAAAAAGAAAATCGGCAGCAATGCTTTGTTGTCTGACTCTGTTATTTTGAAACCCTTCTGGTTTTGAGGGGTGAAAGGGAACCTGGAGAAGAAACACAGGCAACGGACAGCCGGAGGAAGGACCCGCATCGGCCCCGCTACCCGTGAAGCTGGGAACTGTCCTGACAGCGGCGTCAGACCCTCTGGCGTGCGGGGTGCGAACAGGAGCTGTAAGGAGAGGATTTCTCTGAACTGCGGGATAACGGGACGGAGGAGGAAGCGACGGAGCTGATGTTTTTTCCCTTGCTGCCCTGTCCCGCCCAAGTATCTGCTTTGCCAAAGTGTCCCTGACACACTCACTCACTGGGGCAGATCTGGGAAAGAGGGAAACGCGTCCCGGACTTGTAAAGGTGGTTTTTTGGTTTTGTTTTTTTTTTTAATTAACTTAATGCAAATGTCCTCATTCAGCTGGCGCAGTTAATCCTTGCCCTGCCGCTTCTGCTCGGGAAGGGGTTGCGTAGAGAGAGCTACCTGGCTCTTCTCTCGCTCGCCGGTGGCAGAAGGAAGCAGGGGAGCAGCCGTTTTCGGGACAGGGCGTAAGCGCGCTTTGTCACCTGCCTCCTTATTTATTTTTGCTGTCCGTGGCTCACTACCGTCGGCACGCCTTGGTGTTCCTGGCTCTGCTGCCCTCCTCCCCCCTCCCGGCTCTTCTGCCAGCCGCTGCGGGGTCTGCGGGCATCTGTTGAGCCGGGCTGGCTCTGGGAGGAGAGGTCCCCTCGGCCCCAGCTGCAGACACACGGGTGCTGTCTGTCCAGCCTGCAGCGACTGGGGGAAAGGCTGTGACTCTTCAACTTGCACTGGAGGCTGTTCCTGGCCCCCTCTCCCTGTCCCGGCTTGGCTCGCCTGGCGCAGCACAGGGGCACGCAGCGGCCGAGGGCGGTCGGGGTCAGGTCTGGACCCACTGTGGGAGCCCCAGCCGGAGAGAGCCGAGCTCTCCACGTTGCCTCCCAAGGTCCCTGGCCTGGGGACAGTGGCCTGTGCCATTCCCACCCGGAGCAGGGCTCTGCTGGTGATAGCTGCAGTCCTGGAGGGAGAGCCCGCTCCGCCTGCCTTTCCCCGCTGTTTCCCTGTGCTGCGGCAGGGGACGGAGCCGCTGCTCTCATTTCTCAGCCCCTGGCATCAGCCTGGGCTGAAATCTCTATGCCGTTGGGGAGAGGAGACCAGAGAATACAACAGCAGCTCCCTGGGAAACAAAAGCCATGTTTACATCAGACAGCTTTTGGCTTGCTGGCACAAGCGGCCGCGGTGTAGCGTGACCCCAGGGAGCAGCCACTTTAACTGACCCGCTCCTCTCCGGCTCCCGGGAGGAGACAGCCGGCAGACTCCCAAGGATCCAGCTTCAATTAGTACATCGGGCCCCAAAAAGCAGTTCTTTTTCTTGCTTGTCAGGTTTTAGAAATGCCAGAGTGGCCTGAAAACAGAAGCCACAGCGATCCCTTGGTCGCCGGTGGGGGGGGGCCTGC